ATATATATATATATCGGCTACCTATTGTGTATGTTACTAACAGCCGTTTGTGCCGAGTGTACAGCCTAGTAGCCCACACTGTCAACCGGAGAAGAAACTCTTAATGCATGCTGTATCAGCATAAGCTGTGCTTCGAACGTAGCTCTACACCACAGTACATACGCTTCTTTCCATTAATGTGATCGAGAAAGTTGGTCGAATCCTTGAGCACACAGTCGCACACATCGCAATAGTACCCTCCCGATTGCGCAGCAGCTGTATCCTGCAAGAAATGCAAAATAACGAGTCAGCACTAAACCAATTCTGGTGCAGCGATAGACGAGGTTTCGTTGAATGATTACCGGAATCTGTACACTTTATTATAATACACACACGTTTCTTATTGACCGGACGATTCTACTATATGAGACTGCAAAATGTCTATATAAAATCAACTAGATGTAATAGTAATGCAATAGTATGTTTCAATAGTTGCAGAAATAGTAATATATGAAACAGCGAGCCTCAGGAACTGCATAGACAGAACATAAAGCTCCAATTCTGCATAAGAACGATGTAATAATTGTGCACTAAGACAATTGTATAGCTCGGTTATGGTCTGCGACAGTATTGTCTATCTAGTTGGAGTCTGTTGTTATTAAAAAATTGCACATTGTGTAATAATTGTGTGAAAATTGTGTGAAAGTGTGGCAGCGCGAAGTCATTGAAACAAAGATTGGAAGAAGAAAAAACATTCCGTGCCAATTTCTGCAAAGAGGTAAACCTGACACACACTAAATGTATATATGTATACGCATGAATATGGATAAATAGTTGAATTACACATACCATACGTAGAATCAATTTTGATCAAATTCATAACATATATGCTTAACCATAAACCAACGGGAATATACATGGCTAATATGATTTAACGACAAACAAATCAACAGGAAGATTCACAAGCAATTACGTATAGGATGATAGACGTGTGGATCAGCTCCGCAATGCTATACAACCAACGATACCGTAACAAATTTATAAAGGTATATGTAAGAGACTGAAGAGGATATGTGCCTAAACGAGGAAGAGTAGAAGTATCACTGCGAGGACATGGCTGTAATTCAAATCAGGAATATAATATCGCTCACGAACTTTTAGAAATCTATGCATGCGAATGACAATTTTGCAACAGCGACCACGACAGTCAGAAACAAAAGGATAACTCAACAACTGAATTATACGTATATACAATCCATTTCTAAGTATCCCACATTTCAATATCAGAACCTGGGTATACATCGCATCGTATGGACGTGCGTCTTGGATTCCAATATACAAAGCTTCACATACCGCAGTAACCACTTGGGTCTTGCCCAAATTGGAATCCAAGTCCACAGTATAGTCACGCTGTCGTAACAGATCTCTCTCCACGGGTTTTACATACTGCTTGGGGTTCTCTGCATCATCCTCCCTGTCTCTGGCTTTCTGTTTGTACTCATCTTCGTCCCATTTCCTACGGAAATCTGTATCACTTGCTTTCTTGTCGCCTTTATCACTCATGGTTGATATAAGTATGGTAGTCTGCTCTATTCTCGAGGTTGACTTATTCTAGGTTCTGATATTGGCCACGACCGTATACTTGTTCATTTAAAATCAGATGAATCTAGATACTGTACAGCCACATGATATTACGGCACATATTTACAATGATATTTTTTTCGATTTTCGATTCGACTGTAATGCGGGGTATTTATCAAGGGACCTAAAAAGCTGCGGGCGGTATAATATACCAACTTTTGTTAGTAGCCTAAGAGGCTATGCACATATCACAGTTGCAATCGAACTACAAATTAACCACCCCAATAATATTAGAGCTATAGAATTTGTACCTATACTAAGGCTATATAGTGCAAGTAAAATGCGGTCAGAAGGCACATTGAAAATTGTTGCAATGTGTACCTACCCAATCTCACCCAGATGCTCAAGTGGTCTTGTGAACTATCACAGCGGTGTTGTCTCGGTTGTTCATTGTGTGCTCCACTGATCGCGCTCTGTGTGCCCTGATATAATGTACTTCTCAACGCATTCATACTGCATGCCCCAAATATGTGTATACAATTTCAATTATTTTCAAACAAGTGCGCGCCTTTGTATATATAATTCTACCTATTATATCCATTATAGTGCAGATTCGACACTTCCTTTCTGCGTGAACAATTTTACTTTATTTATTATGTACCTCTAACACCAACTGTTCCCGAGTTTTGATGCAGACT